GGTCAAACCATCACGCCAATAAACGCACAGTAATAAACACTGAAAGTCAAGGTTAAACTGTGTATTATAGCGAACTGACAGGATTTTACCATCCTTGATTTTACCATTTTGATCCACGTTCTCAAGCAACATTTTGATTAGTTAACAGGTTTTACCACTCATCATTCGCTGCTCAATGTTGTGAGAACATAATCGGACAAAACCCTCCAGTTTTAAAAGAGCACATTCCAGTCAATTTCAAAAATCTTTCTCCTCTTTGCTTCGATTAGTTTTCTTGTATTTTCTACACATATTCCTGTCATGAGCACCGCAAACACTGACTCGATCGTCTTGAGCGCTCACCACATTCTCTGATCCAGTTTTAAAGGAACACACTCCAGACAGTTTCAAAGTTGTCCATTATCAAAGTTGTCTGCGCTTCGATTAGTTTTCTCCTATTTTCCACACATGTTCCAGTCTTAAGCACCACAGTCTTGGATTTCGTTGCACACAGAACCATTCACGTTTGAACTCGCGTGACTTACTGCATGCTCTCATTCACGTCCTCCACATTCATAACCCAGCACCGTCGGGTTACTTATTACTGATATCAACCCAAATTGGGTCGAATCAAGCCAGCTTCCTTACCCAACAGTCTCAACCGAACATTTGGATTGAAACAATTACCAGCGTGTTTTATATGTTTAGGCTATAAAAAAAGTACACAGTGTATGTTTTTGCTAAATTGCTTGCAAATATAAGATTGTTGTTAGGTCATACATTCCATGAAATATTAGAATAGGTACCCCTTAGTTTTAAAATACTTACAGTAGAAATAATTTGTAATTTTACAGATTATTACCCCTTTATTCCCCAAACTTAGCATATTATTCCTTTATACACGGGGGTACTGAATAGGTACACTATAATTACAAAAACGTTATGCTGTAAATTCTGTTGACTTACGCAGTACATTGCGGGTTGTAATCTAAAGCGTTACCACCTTATCCTTAAAGTGAATTGAATTGTTTAATTTCCAGTAGTTGAAATTGGATCCTTGAGTTCTTGTATCACCAAGGCTGATAACTATGTGTAAGGCCCAGCTTGGAAGAGCTCTCCCTGATTGCAATGACTCTCCCAACCTCTAGTTGGCACTAACTAGTAACACTCCCCATCATTTTGCTTACACTGGTTCTATGCAATAACACTCCTAGCCACTAGGTGGCCCTAGCTTCTGTTGATAGATAACATCACTACTCATTAGGACTTGAATGCCCCCAGCCGTGTGTCTTTACCCAATTAATGTTGGCCTATTTAAGCATGCCCCATTTGCTCTCCTGTGTTCAGTCTTGAGCCTACTACGCCTGTGTTTCCTCACCACCTAAGCTAGTTTATCGAGATTTTGTCTTTTGCTCATCTTTTATTTCTTGCATTTTTCTATGGAAGCACGGCTTCCCTTTTGTTGTACGTTTGAACTTGGACTGCTCCAGTAAAACTTTTGTTCAATTATCTAAGTCTCTCTGTTATGCCTCTGTCCTTGGATCCCTCTGTTGACTGTCATCCACTATAGCACAGTGGTAGAGGAGACAGCTCGGTTGCCTAGCGGACCTGAGTTCGAATCCCACCTCAGACACCCATCACACTATGGATCATTTTATGGTCACTGAAGACTAAATGCACTATGTCAGTGTCCTGAATTTGATTTCCAAGTTCCTCAGAAGTTAACCAAAATCCATTCTTGATATTGAATGACCTATCCTTATTACTCCTTTAAGTCTATCTTATCAAGATTTCTGTGCCTCCATTCATCTTGACAATTTAATTGGGGACTTAAATTAAATATATCAGTATTGGTGCTGTCTACTGATATGGGGAGGAAACCAAAAAAAAAAAAAGGGTCATTAATAGTGTTCCAATCACCACCAAAAAAAATCAACTGGCCACTAGGGTATATTTTTAAGAAATCCAGAATTTCTTCTCTAAAATTTAACCTGTTTTGTAAAGTATAATTTTCACCATAGATGTTCCCCAAAAATTAAAACTTTATGTTCATCTTCTACAATCAAAGTAAACCATCTTCCACCAAAGTGAGCTATACTTTTTAGAATTTTTCCTAATTACCTTTCAAAATTGCGACCCCTGCTGATTCATTACTCCCATATGCCAACTACACATCACTACCCCATTGATTTTTCAAAATAAATAAATAAAAATAATTAATTAAATCAGACATTGCTGCATGAGTTTCCTGCAAAAGTCAGGCTTAGAACATCGCTAAATCATTTTATCAATAAGCGATTTAGATTTTTAGACCCCTTAACCTACCTCCAAACCTAAACCTACCCATTTTACAGCGAATATGCATTTTTATCATTTTATTAATACACAATTTAGATTTTTAGACCCCTTACCCTTCCCCCAAACCTTAACCTAACCATTTTATAGTGAATATAAAAGGATATAAAACGCAAATGACCGAAATATGCAGGAAAATTACCATTTTAGTAACAATATACCATTAAAATATTTTTATAGTCTCTAATCCCACTCCTACTTATAAACCTAAAAATTTCTGTACAGCATAAAAAACATGACAGATATATAAATGCAATTACAATCATTTATTTATTGCAAAAATGTCAAAAGCAGCACCAAATGTAATCCAAATGATGTGTTGCACCCGCAGTCCTCTCTGGCTAAATACAGTAGGTTTGTGTTATCCAGAGCAGAATTTATGTTGTTAATGGCTGAAAATTTTATCCAGATAATTTTCCCGATCCACTCCGTGAACTCATGAAGGCGTGCGCGCATCATTCAAATACACTTCACCAGGGGCACGTTCAAGCTCAAACCGGTGTGCACCGTTTTGCTACGGTTTCCAGTTTGAATGACATGTTTCCTGGAAACGGTGTGCAGCGGTGTGCAACGGGGTTTGAGATACGTTTTCTCTTGTTTGGTGGGTGTGTCAAACATTTCAGCCCAATCAGCAGCAACATGTATATAAACCATGTGGTATTAAAGAGACAGCTCACACAATGTAAATAACATCCAAATAAATTCACAAGAGCAAGTATATTGTTTGCACATGTTTATTTATTTACATTAAAGGCAAAATAACTGAAATAATAAGAGCACACGTATAGATCTGGAACTTCTTTAAGTCTGTCTAAATATCATTTAGTAATTGCAATGTCTTCTGGTCCATATCCTTTCCTTAGGAAGGTGTGCTAAATACTGATTAATGTAACATAAAAATACTATACATATTTATATATTTTGCTATTGTATTATGGAGTGACACTTTCATAAACTTTTCTATACCCCTCTGATTATATAATGGTAAATATTGCAATACCATAGCACAACAACAGCGATCAGCAATAATGATAAGCCTAATACTCACAATAAAAATAAAAAGGTCATATAGACCATAACACAGTCTTGGAGGTAAGAAGTGGATTAGGCTATCCTTCACCTGAAATGTTTGTCTTTTCATCCTGAAATGCGAGGCAAATATTGGATCACAATAATTAGAAACCACAGTTTCCACAAATCCCTTCATTTGATTGGGATGTTCTCTTTTATTCTGGAGGGCAAGGGCAATGACTGTAACATCGAGCGTATATTGCAGTATTAAACAGGTATTTATACCAATTTCATCAGGCTCCGAAAATTCTTCAAAAAGAACACAAAGAATGGCCTTCTCAGCTGCCATAGTTGCAACTCTTGCGTCATCAGAACAGGGTGTTCAACGCACCACCATTTCCGTTTAAAAAACGTTTTGCACCGTTTTTGTCGGTGCTGAACGCAGCCCAGAAACACGGCTTGTCGCAATCTGTGACGAATGCAGGTGAGAGCCAATGAGCGTTCGAATATTCTGCCGTAAAACCTGTCGTTTGAAGTGGCAAGATTTGAATTTGTAAAGAGTGTGTCAGTCAGCGTGGGCTTTGCTGCTTACGGTCACTGGACTCGCTGCTCGGGATGGAGATGAAGATCGCTGAATAAAGGCTTGGATTTGGGTCTGTTCCTCACAATCGTATGGATTCGGAAGATTTGGATTACAGCGCACGAATACATTGTTTAATTTTGTAGTTTAATAGTTCTATTGTTAGTCACAGCATGTTGGGAAAAAATGCCTTTTGTGGTCTATGGCAATCAAAGTAAACATTATATGACAAGTAAAGGTTAAACGATTGCAGAAATGTTATTTATTAGAAGGTTTAAAGTGAAGTCTTGTTTAACATTATGTAGGCATATTCTTGGAAATGAGCTGGCAGCAGAAATCACACAAAACGAAATGTTATCATTTCATAAGTAAACGAGTAAACAATTTAATAATGCAATTGAAAACAAGCTAAATCATATGACAACTCAAAACTAATAAAATGAATGCCACGATTTCAATATTTCATTTTTAGGTGTCATCAATACGTCAATTTTGTATGTTTAAATGCTGAAAATACGTAAGTCTATTTGTACGTTTAGATGCTGAAAATATGTCAGTATTGTCCGCTTTAGTGCCTGTAAGAACGTAAGTAAATGTACGTTTTATAGAACCACATGTTACGTAAAATACATATACGAATTATCATGAGATCACGTTGTGTGATCCTTAGCAGGGTAGAACAGAGCTGAATGGTTGCTGCACTAACATCATCTGACGGGGGGAAAGTACTAGGCTACTAATTATTTATTCAAATTATATGAATTGCAAACGTACATATATTTGTTTATGTATTTATTTTCCATTGTTTGTTACTGCGAAGACCATATTTTCTTAAAGGTATTTATTCTTACATTAGATTTTTTTACATAATATATGCCTATAGTAAGGGCCTTGCGTGACAGTGCTAAAGAAACCTGATGGCTTTAAACAGGGTAGATAATAGCGAGCACAGCTCACACACTCTTAAAGCTGGGCTGCATGTGTAATGCTTTCCCTGGTTGGTGAGATTACAAGTGAGCAAAGATTAAGCAAATGAAGTCCAAAGCAGTTGCCCAAAATAACGTCTAGTCTCCATCTTAGGGCTGCTCCGTGCTGCATATGACAGTGCTTAGGCACAATAAAATATTTACGTCAACTTAAACCCTGCTCAAAATGCGGAACGCAGTGAGTATTTTACCAATTTTATGACTGTACATGGAGTTTGTTATTTAAAGTTGTTTTTGAGTCTTGTAAAGTGTTTGCTTAAATTGTCTGTAGTCATCAGACAAACCTTCTTTGTATGAAGTTATACTTAGAGGGATATTAGTTTAGAAGAGAAATGAAAATAATCATTGTTGTGTATGAAAAAAAATTTCTTTATAGTAACCTTATGGAATATTTAATGATGTTCATATTAGCCCTTCTGACTGTCAAAAAGATCTAATTAATATATATTTTTGGTTGACCATTTAATAAAGAATTTTAACCAAAATTTTATGTATATAGTGTTGTATTCAATCATTATAATGATTATTAAAAATGATTAAAGAAAGATTATATAATCTATTAAAACACTTTGAGACATTCTTTACCATTTAAAGCATGTTGTCTGAAACAGATCTTCATCAATATTGATATATGGTATTAAACTAAATTAAGTGGCTGAATGATGATTTGATTGGATAAATTCTAGTGATTGTTTAATACAGGCCTGTTAAGCAGTAAACAACACCTGCCATTAACAGTGATGTAGTAACCTGTAACCTACTGCCTATCCAATATTCAGTATGCCAGTCAGCCAGTGTTTTTAATAATAATTTCTAAAATTCAAAAAGGCATTTTCCTTCAGCATAGACATATGTGATGCTTAAGCTGGTGTTTTCAGAAATATAGATCACATTAAGAAAAGGAATGGGTTAACATGAGTGTGTTTTTGGTCAAAAACATGATTGTTGAAGCTTCAGGGATGTGCAGACTGATATTGTTGGTAACACTTTCAAATAGGGAACACATTTTCACTATTAACTAAGAATTCTCCCTGAACAGACTCCTAATTTGCTGCTTATTAATAGTTAGTAAGTTAGTTGTTAAGTTTAGGTATGGGGTAGGTTAGCGATTAAGGGATCTAAAATATGGCCATGCAGAATAAGTCATTAATATGTGCTTTAAAAGTACTAATAAACAGCCAATATGCTGGTAATATGCATGCTAATAAGCATAAGCATAATAAACTAGTTAACAGTGAGAATTGGACCTCAAAATGAAGTGTTAACATATGGTTTGTTAATATTTCATGTTGGCCATAATCAGTGACATTACATATATAATTTTATATATATATATTTTTTTTTTTTTTTTTTTTTTTTTTTTTTTTTTTTTTTTTTTTTGTTTTTTTTGGTTTTTTTCTCCT